GATTGGGTACCATCACGATCCATACTGGTCAATAAAATTTCACCTGCACCACGTTCAACGACTTCCTTTGCCCAAGCTACCGCATTAATTCCCGTCGACTTGCGCCCACCATGAGTAAAGACCTCCCAACGGGGTGGCTCACCTTGAGACGAAACCTGTTTGGCATCAATCGCGATCACGATACACTGCGAACCATAATAATCACAAACATCATTGACCAAATCAGGGTTTAAAAGCGCTGCAGAATTGATGCTCACCTTGTCTGCGCCTGCATTTAACAAACGACGCACATCTTGGTTGGTGCGGATACCCCCTCCTACTGTTAAGGGAATAAAGGTCTGTTTAGCAACCGCTTCGATCATGTGCAAAATCAAATCTCGGTCATCTGAAGTAGCGGTAATATCTAAAAAGGTAATTTCATCAGCACCTTGATCGTAATATCGCTTAGCTACTTCAACTGGGTCGCCTGCATCTTTGAGTTCAACAAAATTAACGCCCTTGACCACACGACCTGCATTCACATCTAAGCAAGGAATGATACGCTTGGTTAACATAACTTATTTATGCCATTTTTTCAGATACATAGTCTAAGGCCTTGGCAAAATCCAAATCGCCACTGTAAATCGCCCGACCACAAATTACGCCTTCAATTCGAGTGTCACCATGCTCGCATAAGACTTCAATGTCTTTCATGCCAGCTAAACCGCCACTGGCGATGACAGGAATGTCCGCTGCTTGTGCTAAACGCAAGGTAGCTTCCCAATTAATACCTTGCAACATACCATCTCGACCAATATCTGTATAAATAATGGATTCCACACCATAATCTTCATATTTTTTGGCCAAATCAATCACGTCGTGACCCGTCATTTTACTCCAGCCATCGGTAGCAACTTTGCCATCTTTTGCATCTAAGCCAACAATAATTTGACGTGGGAAGGCTAAACAAGCATCTTGGAGAAACCCTGGATTTTTGATGGCTGCCGTCCCAATAATGACGTAAGAAAGACCATCATTGAGATAACTTTCGATAGTATCTAAATTCCGTATCCCTCCCCCCAACTGAATGGGGAAGTCTTCGCCAATTTCAGCTATTAACTCTTTGATTAAACCTTCATTTTTTGGCTTTCCTGCTACAGCACCGTCCAAGTCAACTAAATGCAGTCGTTCTGCCCCTAAATCAACCCATTTAAGAGCCATTTCAATAGGGTCCTCAGAAAAAATGGTCACCTGATCCATATCACCTTGGACAAGGCGAACACATTTGCCATCCTTAATATCAATCGCTGGAATCAATAACATGATTTATAACTATTAAAATTACAAAAATAACCTCAATGTATTAAAGAGCAACGGGTAAACATTGCCCATCAATACCTTAAGGTCGCCACTTCAAAAAATTTTCATAAAGCTTAATGCCCACTGCCCCACTTTTTTCAGGGTGAAACTGCGTTGCAAACACATTGTCTTTACCAACACAACTTGCAAAATCAACACCATACTGAGTCGATCCTAAAATAATCTGTGTATCACTTGGGTGGACATAATAGCTATGAACAAAATAAAAATTGGCAAAATTGTCAATACCTGACCACATAGGATGATTTTGCAGCTGCTTAACTTGGTTCCATCCCATATGTGGTATCTTGAGTGTGTCACTCACAGGAAATCGATCAACCGTACCACGATAGACCCCTAAACAAGTTGCATCTCCTTCTTGGCTAGTTTCGAAAAGCATCTGCTGACCGACACAAACCCCAAAGATCGGCTTTTGTTTAAAAGCTTTCATGAAAGCAGCTTCCATGCCTGATGCATGTATGTGTGCCATA